GAGGTGAAGTATCATCGATGTCGAGCCTACTATTATGCTCATCTGGTCGATCCTTTGACTAGGTTCTCTTTAAGATCAGAGTCTCACCAGGCCCTTCAAGGTCCCTAATCGGCTGTTGGTATCCTTCGTGTCCTCGATATCTTCCTCGACCTGAGGATCCTTCAACCGTCGGAGTCATCGTTCTCCGTTCGACATGATGACTGACCTCGCTCGGTCTAGCTGCTCTTTCGATCTAATCAACCTGGTGTGGTTATCCCATATCAAATACAATAATTTAGACATAGTTGAAAAATACCTTCTTCAACGATGGGACCACATTATATTGAAAAGAAAAACATGCTCAATAATGGGATTAAAAAAATATATCTCGAGACAGTTACAGAACAACAAAATATATATAATTATATAGTATGTGAATCCAAAAATAATCAATTTTTTATCCAAACGGTTGACACAAGAATGTCATTCTCAAGTAGGACAAATTTTCAACTGTCCATCCTTGCAAGCAATGATATGAAGACAAATATATCATCAATACAAGCAAATGACCACATATATTAATTTATCAATATAATCTTGTGCAAATTTTATACTACAAGAATAATCTCATGAAAAGAATGATGCACTACAAGAGTATGACTTTATGAAGTAGCCACTCATAAATAAAATTATAATATATTAATAGATAGAGGGATTTTACCTTATATAAGTTTCCCTTATAATAATATAATATATTATTATATATCCAACTTATCTTTTTACTTTTTTTTTTGTAATAATTTCTCTCATCCATCTTATCTTTTTACTTTTTTTTTTTGGTAATTACTATCATCATCTTCTTCAATTATTTCATTTTTTTTTTACTTCTTTTTCTCGAATTGGCTCATCCTTTTAGTCATTGCTCATATTTCCTTCGGAAGCATCAATTGCGGTTTGGACTTCATATTCACCATGAAAATATGGATCCCATGTTTCTTCTGCTTTAGCTGCATTGGGGAATTTTCTTTTAAGCAATCTTCGAGAATCTTTCTGTTGAAATTCGCCATGGTCTGACTGAAAGTCGCTAGAGTCGGGGTTGGAGCTGTGCGTATCATGACGAGATATGCCGAGGGTTTTCGAGATCCACTTGGCTTCATGTTTCTTTTGAAATCTAGTTTTTTTTTTTTTTGAATTAGTTTACTTTTATCTCTGGTTGATATTTTTCTGATACAAGAACTCGACCTTCTGTGTGCATCTACACTAATGCCACGATTGGAGGTTTCACCGACTATGGACGGGATTTTAGTTTTCGCCATTGAAATAGATCTTAGGGTTTATTGAGGAGGAAGTAAGAGTTGATGGAGTGGGCATTGGGATGTGGGTCGGTTGTGGTGTAATTAGGCGTAATAGTGAAGTTAGTTTTTTTTTCAACTACTCTCAATAAGTTAGTCTTAATTACCGATTAAATTTATGTTGCTTAATTGAATGTCTCATGTATTTGTAAATAAATGGAAAATTTTTACACATACTACATGAAATAAAAGAATTTTCAATTTTACCTTCCTAGAACAAGTAATAGAATATATACCTAATCAAGCTATTTTATTTACGTGATTGCCTAAATATCAGTTACCTTTTGTAACGTCCTCCATCCATATAAGTTATCCTTTGGTGGCGTGATTTACTCTTTTAATTATTTAATTCGCGACTGGAATTCTTTAATTCACGCAACTCTCAAGTGGTATATATTGAGTTTATGTTAGTATATATTCAGTATATGTGCGCAACTGGAATTCCTTAATTCATGCAGCCAGTATATATTGTGTTTATGTTAGTATATGTTGCAATGAAAAAAATGTCTTCCATTAAAAATTAATATTTTCCTCTTTTTTTTTCCTTTATACATAAAAGTATATATATAGTTTAAAAACATATTATAACAAAACCATACATATACACTAACACCAACAAAAAAATTAAGTTTATGCTATATTTAAATAGATTTTATACATAAAAATTATGTCTCGCGATAAATTTTCTTTATCATATCTCGAAAATATATTGAATAACCATGCATATGTAACACCCCGCTTTTCCATAAATATCAGAGTGCATTTTTCGCAAATTCTTTTCTTAATAATACATAT